AACCATTTGAAGGTAGTGAGATGCGCACATGTGAAAACATATCATTACTCTACATATGAATATGAAAGCAACACTTATTTACTGCTCATATATACTGTATTTTAATTAATGTTTCTGAATTAAAAAAAAAGATTCTACCCACCAGTGGTGGTAAAGTTGAAAACATAAGGGCAGCCAATGTTGTTGTGTGTGTGTTTTGACTTGGATGACGAAGTTGTATCTAAATTTGGAAGATTTTAATTTTGTGGGATATTTACAGTCTAAATGGGTCTCCAAATATGAGAGCCTACTGTAAATAGGTGTCCAAATATGAGAGCCTACATATAAAGAAACAAACATTCCTGCATTTGAGACCAGCAGACAACCTTTAGCAATTCCTCAATAGATGGCGCTGCCGCACCACTGCCATTAGTAAACAAACCACACAGCAGCAAGGGTTTCTTTATTTTTATTTTTTGCAATATATCAACAATATTAGTTAAATCAATAGTTTTATAGAACTGTATAGAGAATACTTGTAATTATTAAGTACTGTAATGAGGTAACAGTCTTTGTAAGGGGCTGATTTCAGTTGACCCTAAGAAAACCTCTGCTACAACTATCAACTCGCGTCGTGGAAGACGCATGGTAATTTTCAAGGTATATTTTTGTCATAAAAAGTGCGTCTTTTAAGCCAAAAACTACGGTACCTGGCATACCCAGGGGATGGAATGGAGCTAATGAGGTCTTTCCTGAGATTATATGACTTATCTGTGAAGCTTAATACCCCACTACCTGCATCTCATATGCTGCTTGTGAGCATCTGTTTACTAATGCTGAGCTTTTCATTTATTATTTAATTAATTTATTACACCCCAGGGGCGACAAGCCTAGTCATAAGACCATGAGGTGAGACACTAATACAACGGTACTCTTGTCTCGCAGGACACGCTACGACTTGTGATATGGAGACAATAAAGATATGATTTAGGGACAATAGGAGTTAGTACCCACCAAAGCGTGGGTAGCGTAAAAGAATTAAATCTAAATTATTACGAATAATTAGGTGGTGACATAGTGGTTGGTGACTCGTCCTGTGGTAAGAGGTCTCTGACACTGGGACAATCAAGGCAATACAGTAGTGTTGAAGGGTGTTGGCGTTGGGAAACTTACAGAGTTTACAGGAAGAGAAGTGCAGGTCATCTCCCCCTCAGATACTTGCCAGATAGGTCTGTATCCTAACCTAATGTGAGCAGAAACAACATTATGGCTGTGGAGCATAAGTCCACGTCGATGATACTTGTGTGGATAAGGAAGAAAGTGATCATAGTGTTGGATGGATATATTTTCAGCCCATTCACTATCCCTGTGATGGTTTGTAGGGAGAAGAGCGGTTGAACGTATTCTGTTTCGTAGGTCATGCTGGGATTTTATTTAGGCCTTAAAGATCCTGATTGGACAGGCAGTTTCTAGAATCAGTTAAGGATTAACCTCAATAGAAAAATTTAAATAAACATGTATAATGCTATGTGTATTCTATTTTTGTCTTTAGTTAATTAGTTTCTTATAATTTACTGTAGATATATTTTAATGAGTCGATTAATAATTTTGTTGTTACTTTTGACTTACAGTACCTGAGTACCTTATGAATGAGATACTTTTTTACTTCTACTTGAGTACATTGAACTTTGGATACTTTTACTTCTACTTGAGTAACTTTTACTTAAGTAACAAAGTCCAGTACTTTTTACAACTCTGCTTATCTACAATACAAGTCAGTTGTTTTGGAAATTTTGGCTAGGCAAAGTTTCATTTAAAGGTACAATTAGGGTTCAACAATCAGCAAAAAATTTACCAAGGGGTTCATGTCCCTCTACATGGAGTCAACAACATTTAGCATCATTAATTCTTATCAGGGTTAAAAAAATCTGGATTCCATGAACAGTTCATAAACTGTCACTATCCTAATTAGTATTTTCACATAGATATTCATCATCTGTATCTTCATCATCAGTATCTTCTGAGAACAGATGATTGGTATACCAGTCTGGTAGGATTTTAATTTGTGAAGAATCTTTCACTTTGGTGCAGTAAATGTTACCTTTTTTTTCTCGTTCAAACTTATACACAGCTGAGGGGTCTGCCTTTATCTTGCTCTTCACAAAGTCTAGAAACTTCGCACAAAAGTTAAAGGAAACAGCAGCTTCCCATTCACCCTGCAAAGAAAAATACCATTTTAATACATATTAAAATATGTAAAAAGTTTAATGTAAATTTATATCCATCAATACTGCTAATGATTATGAAAGAGAAGCAATGGTATAAAATTAAATTGAAGTGAATAGATTTACTCATTGATGACTGTATTTATTTAAAGTTCCCCAAACAGCTGTTTATTACACCAAAGAAATTTGAAAGCCTTAATAGACAACGCAATGGTCCTCAACTCTTGTCACCTCCTTGTCTTGGGGGACTTCAACTATGGCAACAATGACTGAAGGAAATTAAATTACACCAAATGAACTTAATAACCCTGCAACTCTGAGAGGCAACTCTGAGGGACAATCTCCTATTCCAACATCTAAAAGACTTGACTCACAACAGAGGGAAACAAACATAAAAACCACTGGATCTCACGATAACTGATGAGGAACATTTAGCCCTCACTAGCACTAGCCATTACGAGATGTTGTCTTCCAGATTTAACTGTTACGCAAGTAGGGCTGTGGAGCCGGGAGCTTGTGAGTCGGAGGAAATTTCAAGCCAGGAGTCGGAGGCGTAAAATTGTCCACAGACTGACTGAAGCTATTCTGGTTCCTAAGAACAAATATATGAACTCAGGCATATCCACAGTGATCCTACTGATTCCACTAATTTTCTTAAATTATTAAAAAGAATTTATTTCATTTTATACATTATTACGGAATTTATTGTAATATAAGTAACAGTATAAAGCAATTACAAATTTTTTGGAATTTATAGTCTCTTCTTACCATTTGGAAATTTTGAATTATATCAAATTTTGCTCTGTTGAAAAACTGCACAGAGGTTTCCCAGCTACAAAAACAATTAGCTACAACTTGTTTCTTGGCAGATTAAGGCAAATTTAATTTTATCAACTTAATCATGTAAGGTTTATCCATTTTCCTTAATACAAGGTATTCATTTTTAATGTACATAAATATATAAAACTTTACTTTGGGGTACAAGGAATTGTAGAATCATCATTTAGATCCACATCAGATTATGAGCCAAATAAATTCATATGCTGAGACTGAACTTGTATATACATGTAAATGGTACTTTGTTAATATCTTGAATTCTTAATAAATTTATTTTTTCTTTGATTGAAACTTTGGAAAGTCAGTTTATCATCTTTGGTAGTTCTAAATATCGCCCAGATCATTAATAAAGCTGTAGCAGTATAGCCAATGTGTTTTTACTTTACTCACGAGGTTAAACATACAAATTCACAATTAGGATGGTGGAAGAAGCAGCAAATAGGCCAAGGAGTCGGAGTCGAAGCATGTAATTTGAGGAGTCGGAGTCGTGGTTGCTCTTTTGTCTTCTTTAATTCCACAGCCCTGGTTACGAGTACAAAAATGAATGGCGCTGCTTCAAATATTGAAGCAAATGATGATAAAAACAAGATGAGAGAA